TAATGGCTTGTGATACAATAGAATTATTGATTATGAAACTGATCCGGTATGTGTTGCCAGGGTGGCCATCACCTCCATACTTCAGGAGGCATGTAATGGGAATTGTTAACACTTAGCCGTCTTTTTTCCCCCTCTCAGGGTGCCAGCCTATGGAGAAGATGAGCTCTCGCACCAGGCTATTTACAGTAGTGTCTGAGAATTTAAGAGTACCCTTGAAACCAATCTGCTCCTTTTGCTAGGAAACATTTTGTTGAATATGGCTCAGGTCTTGTTTAAGGTTAGACAATTATCTAAGAATACCACCAAGAGTCATGAGTGGCAGGTGTATGGGATCATATGGGTAAGTACCTAGGCCAGTAGGCCCCCTCCAGTGCTTTGAAACTTCATCCCTGAACAAGTGTTATATCATAAAAAAATAGTAAAACATTTGGAAAAAGTATGCTGTCATCCTGGGAATACCAGAGAAGTACAAATAACTGTAACATGCTGAGGCCTAGCCTATGCCTACAAAGCCCCACTCAACCCTATCCAGTAAGCTCAAGGGGGAAAAGATACCCCTGGATCTGATGGCAAAGCAACAGATATCATGGCAAGTCAATCCCCAACAATGAGCACCACAGCTACACCAACTCTGACAAAAGATACTGCAGCCACTCCAACTCCAGTGACAGACTGCAGCCACTCTAACCCCAGTGACAGACAGTGCAGCCACTCCAACCCCAGTGACAGTGCAGCCACTTCAACCCCAGCGACAGACAGTGCAGCTGAACTAAAGGACCAATCCTTGCTGCTATCAGTTGCCCCTATAAGCAAGAGGAAATGGAAATGAAAAACAACTCGTGCAGTGAAGGAAGATAAAGACAACACATGAACCAGAGGATGTGACATTTGAATGAGAGGAATTACTACAGCAATCAGAGGAAGAGGTATCTTCTCAATCCCTGTCCTTGACTAAGCTGCAGAATATGTGAAAAGATTTCAGCTGCCTTTCAGAGGAGCACACTGTCACCTGGTTGCTCTGATGCTGGGACAGTGGGGCCCAGAGTCATGAACCAGAAGGTAGGGAAGCCAAGCAGCTGGGATCACTTGCTAAGGAAGGGGGAATTGACAAAGTGATTGCAAGAGAAATGAATCCTCAGCCTCTGGAGGTGGCTCTTGTTAAACTGTGAAAGAAAGGTATCCTTACAAGGAAGATGATGTATGTCGCCCAGGCAAGCGGCCCATGATACAGAAGCCTCCAGTACCTGAGTGAATTAGCTGTTCTAGAGATGATCTATTTTAAGTCAAATGCCTGGGATACACCCATAGATCCAGATGAAGTAGAATGTACAGGATCCATGTGGCGAAAATCTACTTATTTTTTCAAATCCTCTATCTTACTGTACATCCCAGAATATCTTTTCTCTAGTCAAAGCCTTTGATTGATCTTTGCTATCACAGGAATGCCTTACCTACATTCGCCATCTACATTTTTTCTCACTGAGGCATCCTCTCGGTTTCACCATACTGTTTATGTTTTCATACTTCTGTCACTTTTCTTCCATAGTTCTCCTCAAGAATCCCACCCAGTGTCTCATTCTTACTCCGCTTCTGTTCCTTGCCTGACAAATCTCAAGCACTAGCAACTGAAGTTAAAGTTTATAGCTTCACATTCATGTTTGCATTATCTACTTGAGTAAACAGTTCAGCTATTCTAAAACTCTTACCAAACAGGTTTGTCCTGTGAAAAACAGAAGACAAGTTACTAATCCAACCTTAGTCAATTAACAGGTATTCTTCATCACAGAAGTCTGAACTTTTCTTTTCTAAGAAGCTTTGTATAATAGCTTTTACTACCCAGGTGACTCAAGGACAATTTTACCGTGCCACAGGTTAATTTCTTATGCTTTCCTGGCATTGGTATATTCTTGCAAAGCAGTCTGCTCCAATGCATCACTTCAAGACTTTCCAGAAAAGATGATCTCAGCAATTATTTACCCTTGAAGTGTTTTTTTTCTTCCATTTTTAATTGCAGGATGCCACAAAAAGAAGCAATCCTGAACCAAAGAGTTTCACTGATCCAATTAATTTCCTGTGCTATCTCTTCTAGTTTATTTTTACTTCTATGTAGAAAAAGACACTATGGATGTCAAAACCAAAGGATACCAGGGTGCAACAGAACAAAGACAAAAAACAAAGGCAACTAGAAATTCAACATATGATTATCTGCGTGAGACCACAATGAAAAGCATTTAACATAAAATAAGACTCAGAAACCTTAACCAGGAAATACTGCAGGGAGATAAACTTCTATCCACAAAGCTACCACAAAAGAACCTAGTCAAGATTTTTAGATACCTAGGCAATATAGTCAGATATTCTGAATCTATTTTGTGGTACAGAAAGAACAATTCAAAACATGGATTCCAGTAAAGATTAAGTAAAGTGGACATACTAGAAAAAACCGCAGGGAGATCAGCTTGTATCCACAAAACTACCACAAAAGAGCCCTGACAGGATTTTAGATAGATAGGCAAGAGAGTGCCATGTTCCAAGTCTACTTTGTGGTACAGAAGGAACAATTGTAAACATGGATTCCAGTAAAAGACAAAAAAAGTAACTGGAATCAAAATTTATCTAGGAAATATTCCTGCATAATGCCTCAGGTAATCTTGCCTTACTCTCCTGACACAGCAGCCTATGAAGATTTAATGCTGGGTGAAAAAGCAAACAGCTCAAAGAGGCTGTCTAATTCTCCATTGCAGAGATTAGCCTGAAACTGCCTATTACACTGGCTGCCATTTCAACTAAGCAAGCTAAATCCAATTACTGTAATACAGGCTCTCTGTCCAAGTCATTGCACTTCTAAGACTAAAACCAGTAAGTTATGAGTTTCACTGAAACTCTCACAATTCTTCCTCTTCTGTTAATACTGCACAGAGATTTCAGCAATCATCTTCCAACTCCAAAATACCCATTACTTGTTTAATACAAAGAAGCAGGCTGCATACAACATGTAACAAAGGAAAATGCTTTCCCAGTTGGGAGCAGCTTTTTTTGGTGGGAGTACAGTTTCATAAGTCACTAAGACATGAGTAATTCAGGAGAGTCAAATTACAAATACATACTCATCACCATGCTTATTCTTCTAAAGCTACATTTAAAAAAATTAAACAAACAAAATCCCAACAAACCAAAAAACCCCAAATGCACATCTACGTTTAGTTACTTAAACATAAGATGATATCCCTTGAGAATAAGGCAGACTTCAGAAAATTCATACCCAATCTTTAGAATACATCTATGTGTGTAATCTTTAGCAATTGCAGTACAGATACTTTTCCCATTTGTAAAATCAGTCTCATACTGTTAGCCCTCAGAGATCAACATAGGCTACTAGGACTAACCTGATTTAATTAGACCTGCTTTGAGCACGGGATTGGACTAGATGACCTTGGAAGTCTCTTCCAACCTAAATTATTCTATGATTTAATACTTTACCCTCTTTCTCCAGTTGTTGTAGAGGTATTTATCCTGACAGAGAAAATACATCAGCAGAGTCGTCTGTAACATGCAATAATGATGTACTTCAAAATATATCTGGTTAAGAAAGTTTCTCCATACAGTTATATTTATTTAGACTCTAATGTTAAAAAAAAACCTCTTAAGCAATTCCCTCTAAACAGCCCTCTGCCCTGGCAGTCCTCTCTCCTTAGTTGCAGATAACCTGCTGCATTTCATGAAGTACATCTTTCTCTTTTCCTAAAAAGCAAAAAAGGACTCATCACCTATGAAAACTGTCATTCTGGTATTAGATACTCATTAAAAAAAAAATTACCTCCTTCAGGAAAAGCTGAGTTGAACAACAGTTTTACTGAGCTAAACAGTTTTGAAGCCCTAATACGACTTTTCAGAAGTATGAAAAGCTGCGTATTAAAAGGCACATATCCTTAAAGTTCAGAACACCTAGTGTACTGATATACTGCAGAATTAACATTGTAAAATAAACGGATCAATGACTTTACAAGTTTTATTCACTTGCATGCTTTAGTCTGCTCCTCCACAAGGGTAACTTTCTTTTTTCGTGCATAAATGCGAGAAGTTTTTTAAAAGTGTAATTTTTCTATTACTTCTCAGCTACTGGAAATGCGATAATGGAGACAAAATAGTTACAAATTGTCTATCCTAGCACAGGACAAAATGCAGAGCATTCTACGTATCTCAGAGCAGACTAAATTCACCTGCACAGAGCTGGGAATCTGCATCAAGCTGTTTTTTCAGAATACCATTCATGTCCTTTTAGAAGCACTGCTTTTGCAAATGGAATAAGCTATTCTGTAAATACATCAGCATCTCCTGTCCCTCATACCTGGAACAACATATTACATTACATGAATTCATGTTCACTCAGAACTGAACTGGAATGCCAGAGTATATCACACAGGGCATCTTGCCACCTTCCCAGAGCACATACTTTCAGCCACTAGTAGTCAAGATCGTATTTCATTAAGTAGTAAAAGTAGAGTATCTGTTTATCAGTCTTTTAAGCCTTCCAATTCTAACTAGTGTTTTCTAAATTTATTCCTTCTCCTAATTAATCAGAAAGGCTCAAATTACATTATATATACATGAAAGATGCTTATTTTGCATTTTGCTATAACCATACCTGCAGTGATCAAAAATCCACTGCAATTTGTAACCTTTTAATAAAACACAATGCATAAAAATAAGCAACAAAATAAAACCATTTTTCACCTATTTAGAAAGTATAGCAGTATCAACAAACTTTCCATAATCTACAGTACACTGACTACCACAGAAAACACAAGGAGGCTGATAAAAAGTGCCTTCTCTAAGGAGAAGGACATACTACGGACAGGCAGAGGAGGCAAGGAAATAAAATAATGTCCAAAATATCATGTAATTCCTGTATTCCCACTCTCAAAGTTAATGCACTATTTTGTACCCCCAAAAGTAACTTTCATTTACAGTTTCGTTTTGTTAAAAGTTTTGTTTACAGCCTGAAACTAACTTACCTCAATGGTGTAAGTCTGGCTGTGTTTGGTAACTTCTCCACTATGCAAAGTCCTGATAATAGCAAAGTCAGCAGTGGCACCTGCTCCCCTTCGGCTGCTGCGTGCGGATGCTTCACCACCTCGAGATCGCTCAGTATCAATCCCATCTTGTACTGATTCTTCATCCTTGATGTTTGCTGTTTTCTTCTTCTTTTTCTGCTTCTTTGATTCATTCTGACCATCAGTTTGGGCCTTCCGCTGCCTAAATTGGGCAAGCTGCATAAAAGACAAAATCTTGTTAAAGGTGAAAGTTTTCCTGTTTATTACTAATGACATCCTCGGTAAAGGCTTACCAGCTATTCTACATAAACCTTCAAACCAATCACTACTGAAACAAGTTGGAAGTTAATGCAGCATATCTGAGACACATTCAGGCTTCCTGTTTATACAGTCTGCTTTAAAAGAAAAGTTAAATATAAATTGACAATGTATTAATGAATTCCTTTTCAGTTTCATACTAGCAAGTTACTGTTCCAAAACCCGATACCTAGAAATCAAACCATCCAAGGGTAAAGGTACAAATGTCGTTATAAAGGATAAGTGCAATGAAACAACCTCTGAGTTTTAATTTTCATAGTAATAAGTACCGCAAAAATCAATTTACAGAAATTATTTTTAATTTTTTAATGTCAGAGACAGATAAAGCAAACCCTTCTTTCAGCATGTATTATACAAAGCTTTTTTTAAAAGTTTATGTTAGAACTCAAAAAGCAGATCAAGTTCCGGAAAACATCATAAAGAAATAGTGAAATGCATAATGAGGAAAAAGTCTAGAAACAAGCAGTGAGTAAATTACAAGATACACTACCTTGTAGCAAAACATGCTGATGAACAAAAAGTCACAGGTGAGACAGGCACACAGCTGAAAAACCAATTAGTACGTAAGCTATTCAAATACAGTAAGACACTGCCTTTCGAAGAGCTTACCACTTTTAATCACTTTACAGTGGTTTACACAGGAAAATCCATTTAAAACACTTTTTTCTTAATAAGAACAGAATTTCTGTTCAAACAAGAAAAACAGGCAGAGCAGGTTTTACCAATTAAACTGAATTAAATTAAAGCTGAAAACTAAACAGATGCTACCAATAAAATCTGGTATCAAAAATCATTATTTTCCAATTGAAGAGTTCAACATTAATTAAGTGCCATAATATGTTTTAAAAACATAGCTCCAAAGTAAATATAAAGTGTGCTAATGAAGACCCTAAAGCTTTAAATACTTTTTACATCAACTAATACCAAATATCGTGATTTTTTTAATAAATCTGCTGCAATTTTAAGAGAAAGCTACAGAAAAAAGGCAGCATGTTTGCTCAGGATATTCACCAATCGAGAAAGCCAGGCTTCCATCCAACCTCTTCAGCAACACCAAAATCAAGCAGGACACACAGACTTCCTTTCCCAGTCACTCACTGTTCAGCTGCAGTGCAAGCTGTCACTTGAAGTGATCTCTAGTTCTCATCTCCCCGCAAGACAGCTGGGACACCCCTGTCTAAATAAACACATCACTGACGGATCGGTTCTGACTTCTGGCTAGTTTATCCCTTTATCTGCATTTTTTCATGGCTTTCTTCAGCCTCCTCTCCATTCTCAAGACAACTGACAGCTTGGCATATGGCTCCTAGTCTGTTTACAGGAGGAAGACCTGAAGATTTGCTCAGACAAATACACCCACCTACATAGTTAAGCCTACTTCCTCCCTACTACATCTTCATGAATTATTTCCTTTTATTTTTTTAAATAGGTAACTTTCATTATTTCACAAAAAAATCTATTAAATCCACAAATTCTGAACAGGGCAAGAAAGGACAGTGTTCTCCCGACTTCAAAGGTTAAGGAAAAAAAACCTGACAAACAACAAAACTATAGATTTAGCTTCTCAAAAATGGGAAGGGTGAAGGTCCCAGTTGCCTCCCCAGAACATTACTACATACTCCATAAACTGTAAATTTACCTCACCAAACTGTTTGCAATTTAGCCAAAGACAAGCAAAATTTGTCCAAATGCCACAATGACAGGAAGCAGACAACCTGACTTCAAGTGTAACTACAGGAGATTTTGCCTTTTTCTAGTTTTAAATAATGAAAGGCATGTAGTGCCACTGGTTAAGAACTTCCTTCCCCAACTTGACTGAAACCTTGTGTAACGGAAAGTTAAGTTGGATTTTTCTTAAAGCAGCTTTACAGTCTTGATTTGCCTACAAAATCAGATGTGTAGCACAAGGATAAGTGAATTACTCCATGTCCCTCCTCAAGAATTTTGCATATTTTAGCTGAAGTATCAGGTTATGCCAGATTTCTCTCCTTTCCAAATTAAGCTGTTGACTTTCACTTCTTCAGAATTAGCAGACTATATTCTACCATGGCAGTTATAAGCAGACCTTATATTTTCTTTTTTTTTTCTGCTTAAATATTGATGAAGATGGGCACATATGAAAACTAACTGCATGTGCAAATTAAACTATTATTTTTTTGGTGCTACACAGGTCCTCAACTGATTATTTCTGTACCAGCATCTAGTATTTTGGAAATAACTACACTATTAGTGATTAGTGGTGGATGCATGCACAAATCATATCACTTCACCCACTGCACATTCACATACACACAGAACTGTCCAGCTACTAATGCACTGTAGCTTCAAATTGTAATCAAATTTTAAAAAGCAACAAAAAGCAAACAATAAAACAGAAGTGAGAGGAGTAGCATAACAAAAATATACTGCTGACCAGATGCACTCTGTGATGCTCACATCAAGACAGGGGAGTCTCAGCATGCTAATTCCTTCAGAAAATGGGACTCAGGAACTAGTTGAGGACTATCTATCTACATTTCAATATCAAGCAGGAAAAAGTCCATCAGCAGCCATGGGAACTATGGAAAACAAATTTTCTAGAATTGAAACTTAAAGAGAAAAATACTTTCAGATTTTGTATTTCAGAAAGATAGTTCTTCCAGTCTGTACAAAATGTGTAACAAATACAAGCTAATATAACTGTACATTCTTTCACCCTGTCTTCCAGGCACATCAGCTTGATAATGCCGAAACTAAGTCTGCGGAGAACTTAACACTGCTTCTGCCAGCTCTGAATCTGCAGTTTTGAAACTATCAATGTCATCTCTCTGTTGAGTTTAAAAAGTTGCAAGCAAGAGCAAAAGATAAACACAAGAGTTACTAATGGAGGAAGAAGAATCCAAAACCAGAAGCTGAAGGGCAGTCAGAACAGACTCTCCGCACTGATCTGTCTCCAAGAAGCAATGAAGAATGAGCCCCTTAGCCTGAGAAAGCATCAGGAACTTAGCCATGATGCAATTTTACCATAGGCTTAAGCACATCTGAAAACCGATCTAGAGCAAGTCGTTCTAGATATTGCCTCTTATAAACAGGAAAACACTTACTGAAAGTCACAAGACTACAATAGAGCAGCATACAGAAAAATAATGGGTATACTTTTCAAAATCGTTTCCCACAGTATAATAACAATTGCCTAGAATGTAGATGTTTAGAGGACATTTATTTATGTAGTTGTAATTATAACCTCCTTCTACATATGAATCCCAAACCAACACACTAGCCCCAATCCACACCACAGACTACACCAAAATCAGACACCTGGTACATCATTACTTAGCTTTTAAATGCTGATGCCCTCCAATTGTCAGAAAGTCAGAAAAGCAGAGGAGAATCAACTGCTATTAGGAATTAAGTACTCTTGAGGCAGAAGGGAACTAACTTGCAGAGTAGTGGGGATTACTTGTGTAAACCACGTCGACTGTGATAGTTAATGTGCTACTATAATTGCAACAGCAGCAGTATTTATTCATTCAGCTATCTTCAGCACGTTCTGACCCTTGGCAATTATGCCAGCCATCTAGATGGCTGGGATATGCTGTGCATAGATGAATTTCAAATATGGTCTGACTGAACTGTTTCTAAAGCAGAAATTAAAGTGTGTGTTAAAATAAAATTTGGCTCCAAAAGACTACAAAACTTAATTGCTGCTTAAGCATTTTAAAAAATATATTAAACATCTGAACAAAAGCCACAACATTTAATCAATGCCCATACAGCAGCACAAAAAAATACTGAAGAAATGCATGAAAATTAAGTTACATTTATAAAGCATCAATAGCTTTATTTTTACTTCACAAACACATTAAGCTCCATTTAAAATTGGATGCTACCTTATGATTGCTTATTATTCTTTATTAATATTCACAGACAATGTCTGGACAGTCTCATTTTCAGATGTAAAATTCAAATAGTTAACAGGAACTAAAATTGCTCAGTGCCTCTGAAGAAGGTTGCTATGAAATAAGGTAATATTTATTGTACTTAGTATTTAAAAAAACACTTCTAATTGCCAAAACAAGTTCATAGGTAGCGGCATCCTGTTGCTATACAGTTGCACTTCATGTATCTTTACACAAACATTACTGGCTTCAAATTTTAACTTAGTAACACCAAATGCTTGCATCTCATGATCAGTCCTCCATAGGCACCTCTTACAGAAAGAGCAGGGTCTGTTCATCTCTCACAGTTCCTTGTTAAGTCCAAAATCTCTTCTTTTAGCCCATATTTAAAGAAGCAGCATAGCAGGATGAGTTGTGAACTTACAGACTGACAGCAAACAGAAACTTCAGAGAAACTGCTACAAGCAAGTAATTACTGTTTTCCATTTCTCCACTGCTCAATAAAAGCACGAGTGGAGATCTACCTCATGGTCTTGTATTTCTCTTTCAAAATACATTCCAGGTACTGCTTAAACTTCAGCTGAATGAGTCCTACTCACAGAAGAGGTCTTGCTCTTTGTTAAAAGCTCTCAAACAGTCTGACACCCAGTGAGAAATGTTCTGTGCTGGACCAGTCCTGTGGTCTTTTTTTTCAGATCACTGTCGTGGTTTAAGCCCAGCTGGCAACCCAGAACCATGCAGCCGTGCTCACTCGCTCACTCCCCCCCAAGCTCCCGGAGGGATGGGGAGGAGAATCGAAAGACTGTAACTCCCCCCGAGTTGAGATAAGAACAGTTCAGTAACTAAGGTATAACACAAAACACTGCATCAGCAGTGTGCAACTTCACTCAGTATCAGAAGACAAGGGCTTCTGAATTTTCTTGTCTCTAGTTCAGAGTGGTGGTTAATAGTTCAAAATTAAACTGGCAGTCCTATAGTATTTGGTATCTTTATATATAACCTGAATGATGAAACTGAATG